TGTCATTACCTATGGGGAAACTCAAATTCGTATACCTTAAAAACTTCAGATAGTAGGTATACGGGATCCACAAAATGGTTATAGTCTTGACGTGTATGCGATCAAGCTGCTATCACATGAGAGCATGGATACTTCAGAGCTTGAAAAAACCCGCAGTCGCACGTTCTGTCCCTTAGATTTACTCTTAACGACACAGCTTCAATCCCTTGAAGAGGTCGCGGTAACTCTGTGATACGAAACATTTCATGCCTTCTAGAGAAGCTTGTTACAGACATTCCATTTGATGCAGCAATTTTTTTCTGTAGATCTCCAACTAATCTAGGGTGATAGACATGACCGCCTTGCATCCAGGTTTGAGCTTGTCCCCCGAGCTTTACAAAAAGCACCCCCAAATGAAAATATGTAGTTTTTACCAAAGCCGCTACAGGTAAGTGACGTACAATCTTTAAGGTTGAATTGATTGCCCCAGCTAAGTTGGTCGTCATGTGTCCATATCGATATCCATCATCATATGCGTTCGTCCACATTTCTTTATCGATGAGGCTAATGTAATCGTATCCTTCCTCGTTCTTCGCCCGTAAATCTTGAAGCATTGATTCAAACGTTCGAGGAAGAAGTTCGTAACCTAATCAAAAAATGTATAACTTACTAACCTAATCAAAAGGATCGAAAGAAAACAAACTACATCAGTTTCACTTACCCATGCACACAAATAATTGACGCTCATCATTCTTCTTGTATCTTCCATGGTAGTTCGCAGCAATGTGTCGGAGATAATACCTATGTTGGACAAAGCATGGTTGCCACATTGGACCCAAAGACTCCATTGCTGCTTTGATCCCAGCTCCGCGATCAGAAATGACACAGATTTTTTCCCTCGTGACAACATGTGCACGTAAATTTCGGAGGAAAAAAGCCCAAGAATATGTATCTTCTCCTTCGACAATAGCAAAAGCAACTGGAAGAATGTTGCGATTTCCATCTTGGACAACTGCCAATAATAAAACTTGCTTGTATTTTCCAAACAAGAAAGTCCCGTCGGTCTGGACTACAGGCTTGCAGTATTTGACAGCATTAACGCACTGTGGGTAAGTCCAAAAAACCCAGTAGAATTGGCATCGATCGCGGAGAACTCGATCATTATGGTATGCATAGGAGGTTTCAAAGTCCACAATTGTCCCAGGATTCAACCTCCGCACCAGCCTAAACCAGCCTGGAATTTCATTGAAAGATGCATCCCATTCGCCATGAAGTTTGACAATGGCATTTTTTTTTGCCAACCAAGATTTTTTATAGGAGACAGTGTACCTATACTGCGATTGTATAGCTGAAATCAACACTGAAACAGCTATATGAGAGCTTGCTTTTACCATGGGTATGATGGCTTGGCATATCACTTCAGAGTCCAAGTTGGGATGATCTTGGTTGACCCATCCAGCACAACATGTGTGAGGAATGTTATATATTGTTAGTTCCCATATGTTGTTTTTCCTCTTCATTTTCGATACGCGAACCATCCATTTACATCCGTTTTCGCGTCAGACACAGTAGCATACATATTTTTCGGTCGTCGATCGGTTTACTCTGGGCTGAACAGAATTACGGATATTGTACTTTTTTATAGCCATCACCGCTTATTCTTTGCTTGAAAACTCCATGCCTAAAGATAACTCACCATTATTTATTAATGAGTAATATCCATAGTCACCGAGATGAGGCATATCCGCAAATTCTGGCCCGTACATTGCACCATAATCAGCTTCATACATGTGTGTAAGAGGGTCAGTTTGTGCCACATTTCCTGGAACTTCATCATCAACAGAGTTGAATTGCGGTGATTCTGGGTGAATGAATAGTCCAGTCTCAGCACCATTCGCACCAGGCTCACGAAGCGGTTCTTCTGGTGGAGATGATGGTTCCTCCATGCTCTCCACATTTAGGTCGAAGAACATACTACTTACACGCCTTCCCCTTGAACTGGAAGGCATATCAACATTGAGATCGAAAAAGCTCGCAGTCGAATGCCTCCCCTTGGAGCTTGAAGCTATCGTGTCAAATGGAAACTGCATAGATGGTTGCGTCGATGGCATCTCCATATGGTCAAAGAAATTTGCAGATGAATGCCTTCCCCTTGAACTGGACGCGGTGTTGATATACGGATTGTTCGTGGATCCACCTCAGTACATATCGTAAGGAGTTGCGGATGAATGTCTCCCCATTATGGCATTAAAATCATTACACATTACTATAGTCGGGCTGTCAACTTGATCAACTTGTTCAACCAGCCCATAGTGGGAGCTTAATGATTGACCCCGCACAGCAAGCACTTGAACAAAATGTGCATACATCTCAATAGCGACGTCTGAATAATTACTTTGAGCTTCAACCATCATTTCAACATTATCATTGTTCGAAAGTTCGAACGCTGTATAAGTTAATGGCAACAATGATGTTGGAAATTTGTACTGCAACGACGACATTCTTCTACTACTTCCAACATGAATCTTCCTCGAAATCTTTGTTATCAGCTCCTCAAGAGTTATGTTTCTCTTGAATGATATTTTAACACGCTCATTTGATACGAAAACAACGCCGATTTCATCTTCTCGAATTTCACCATCATAATAAACAATAGTTGAAAGTTGCACCATTCTTTGAGTTTAAAAGTGAGGCAATATTATATCTGTAAAAAAATAACTGAAACAAACCTGCTTAAATAAATTATATATGAATGAAAATATAACACAATAAATTTTTACACATCAACGTAAATAATTTAAATAATATAATTTTATATTATTATCTGCACCGTAAAACTATTTCGACGTATACTCTCGCTTTTCAATTTTACAAACGTAAAAATTAATTGAAAATAATTATTATAATATTTTTTTCAAATAATCATAATAAATAATAAATATAATAAAAAAAATTTATAATAAAATTACCTTATAACAAAAAATCGCACGAACTTCTAAACTAAATATGAGAAGATTGCCAAAATTATTGACTCGTTGACGGAATTGTTGTATTAATTTATAAGTTGAGATGAGAGATGTGAGGAACATAACCGGGGGAGAAGGGTATATATAGCCATACAAGGCGCAGTACCTGCACCGCAGTATTATGGTATAGCGCAGATCAGGCTCCGCACTAAATATAATTATCTAGATACACAAATATATCGCGGTTCAGGGGGCGCGCTATACCCCACGTGACGCAAGTCAACATATAGCGCGTTACATGGGACGCGCTATACCCCACGTGGTGCTAAATCAGCGTATAGTGCGAGTCAAGGGACACACTTTACTGCTACGGTATTAGATCGGGAAATATAATCTGACCGGTGTTAATCGATAAATATACCTACACCGATGATATTTTAGGAAAAACATCCGAAATAAAAGACGCATTGTAGTTAGTGCTACTCTAAATTACCATGGCTAAAGACACATGATAACCCATGAATGTCATGATTTCAATACGTTTTCAATATTTATTGTATTATTTGTCATATCTGAAGAAATAATATTTCAATTATATTATTTAACAATTTTTCAACCACATTATCTAAAAATTTTAGCCCAACTAGTTATACGGGCTTCAGTCATCTATGACAAATAACACTATAATAAATATGCATAGTGCACATAATTAAATAATATTCAAAATAATTCTTTTTAGGGTAAATTATAAATTTAATAATTAAACTATTTTTTCTCTCTTATTTTATCCATGTACTTTTAATTTTTTTTAATTTACTCAATAAACTTTATATATTAATTTTTTTTAATCACTCTACGATGATATATATTATTTTATTATTATTTTCGTATAACATGTTATATTTTATTAAATATTTTAATACCACATAATTATAAATAAAAATAAATTTAAAAATTCTAAATTATACCTTTAAAATTATATTCAAACTCTAAATTTCCGAATTATACCTAAACCCCAAATTACAACCTCATCCACCCTCACCCTCCCACCGACGGACGGTGGCTCATCGGCGACCTTACCTGTAGGAAGGGATACCAGCGGTCAGTATATAGTTCTCCTTGTTCGGACCTCTTTCTGTTATTCTTCTTCTTTCCTTTCTCCATTTAGTTGATTGCTGCTTGTGTGATGGTCGATTGCCGCAATGTTTTTTAGTCTGGTGCTTTTAAATTCAGAATGCATTTTTAATTGAAACAATGAATTTTCTTCTGAAATTGCAGTGCATTGCTTTGTCTATGACTTGCGAATGCCATCCATAGCTCGTTCTTCGTCTACCAGATTTGGGATTTCATATCATCCAAGTGTGGGTAGCCATTGAGTTTTAAATAAAAGGAATTCATTACCGATTCAGCATCAGCATAATCTTTATTACAATATCAAATGAAAGGTATTCAAATCCCATTAGCCGGCCAAATCTTTGTTCTGGTTCAAATTCATGGACACCTATGCACCCGAGATTTTCACAGCCTGGCATGGACAATGTCATTACCAATTCAACAGCCTCTCAATCCTCAGCATGTTCTTCAGTCAAGCTTAAACCACGATAAACCACCGTTTGCCGATGGGAGGGCGAGGGTGAGTTGGAGTGGGGGTTGTAGTTTAGAGTTTAGTGTTTAGGTTTTGAGATTTAATTTGAGAATTTATGGTTCGGGTGTTTAAATTTAATTTTTTTAGTAATACATGGAATTAAAATATTAATAAAATATGACAAATGTCATATGAAAATAATAATAAAATAATATGTCATTTTTGAGTGATAAAAAAATTAATGTATATAGTTCAGTTCTTAAATTAAAAAATTTGAAAGTATATTGAGTAAAATAAGAGAGATAATATAGTTTGGATACTAAACATGTAATTTAACCTTCTTTTTATTATATTTTTATTGTTTGGTTTCTATTTCTTTACGCTTGAAAACGTGAAGCGCGTGGTTTTATAGAAACAATCGAAATGGCCAAATTACGTATCAAGATCTCAATAATTGAACATATATAGTAATCAATTACAATCCCAAAAGCAGAGCACCATTAAGAAATTTAAGCTTACCTTCCCCTCTCTGCTCTTCCCCTATCCTCACATGGCCAATCAGAAATCCTTTTAAAATACGGGTCAAATCTTCTAAACTATCCGAATTCCAGTGACGAATTCAAAGTTCTGGCTTTGGATTTTAGTTTTTCTTTTCTTTTGTTTTTGATTTTCCAGGTTCGCCTGTAATGGCTCAACCAGCAGGGATGGGAAGAGTGGTAGGGAGCTATTTAATTGGCCGGCAAATCGGGTCGGGTTCGTTCTCGATTGTTTGCCATGCGAGGCATCGAGTTCATGGAACCGAAGTTGCGATAAAGGAGATCGTAATGAGTCGGCTCAATAAGAAGTTGCAGGAGAGTTTGATGTCGGAGATCTATATTTTGAAGAGAATTAATCATCCTAATATTATTCGACTGCATGATATTATTGAGGTTCCTTTCTTCTCTTTTCTTTCTTTTTAAAAAACATCGTTTCCTTTTATTATTAATATTTTAGGAGTTGTTTGGATGCTGAGGAAGTGGGGAGAGAAGTAGAGAATGAATTTTGAAGAGTAGAACTTAGTCAACTTTCTACTTTGTTTGCGTTAACGGTTAATCTATCTTGCTTTGAGAGTTAAATTTCACTTTGGCTTCTCTTTGATCTGTAGCAACTAATACTACGTCAGAAGCTTTGTGTGTCATTGATGTTTTTTTTTTGCTAAAATGGCAGTGGTCAAGGGAAACTAATTGAAAATCTAATTTTCATGTAGTGTTTGTGAAGGTTTCCAGCTCGGGGCTGATTTTGTGTATGTCATAACCTTTCCCCCTTCTAAAGTATTTATAACTTGTTGCCCTTCACTCCATGGACTTGGAGTGGTTTAATGGTTCTCATAGTTGCAATTATGCTCTAACGGTTGGTCTGGCATTTTGTTTATTCTCATTAGATCATTTGTAAGTTCAAATCTTCTGGAAAATGTCAATCACAATATACTTCGATAAATCAAAGTTTTTTGTAATAATGCTGATATGCTGTGTCAGTTTTTCTTTACTTCTTGTAATCCCCTCAGACCGATGCGTGTAACCCAATCCGATCTGGGTTGTCATATTAGGGCCACCGGAACGACCCACTGTAAAAATAGCGGAAAATTTAAAACTTTCCTTAAAACTTGTAAACTCATAAAATCATTTATGAGTACAAAATAAAAGTTATCAGTATTCGAAATAAAACATATTTTCAGACTCGCATAAAACAAAATACAATTACATGCCTCCTAATTACATGTACCATACTCTGCAAGCAACGCCAGAAGAACTCCCTTACTGAAGTCGATAGCTGCACTGGTACAATTCTTTTAGCCTGAAAAGATGAGTAACAGAGTGAGCTTCGGAAAGCTCAGTAATACAGAACTACCAGATGATGCTGAAGAACTTGCAGATACAGATAAACATATATTTCCTTATTGATTCAGATATCCACAGATTTTTAGATTGAACTGAGGTCCATTGATATCGCAGGTAGTAACAGATAGTATTCATTTCAGATGGAAATGTTTCGGATGTCTAGGTTCAGGAGATCAGAATAGGTTTTCTAGTGTGTTCTCGTAAAACCAGTAAAAAGATACAGATCTTTTAAAATATCTATATATATATATACTCCCATCCGTTCACATCATAAATGTGTAGGTTCCCCAGAACCATACACCCAACCGCACATGCCATTTAGACCCTGAGCACAAAGCCGAGAAGTCTGCAGATAATCTTCCTCCAACAATAAACCTCCAGATAAAACATTTCTCCGTCGGTAAACAAAGATATCAGAAATCAAAACATAATTCAGATCAAATATCATAACAGAATCTAGGGGTATCTGAACAAAAATAATATAATTTAGAGATTTTGGTGTTCAGTTTTATTCTATTCATTTCAGAGCTCGAGAATATCTAATCATTCTTGAGCTTGGTGATATTCTTGGGTCATTTCCATTACAGGGGTATTCTGGTCATTCTACAAATCCGATGTATTTTAATCACTTCCTTTCATCATGTCTTATTATTTAATTCCAATTTATCATCTATTTCAGTTTCTTCGAACAATTCTGATAAAAGAGCACCCTAATAAATTGTTCTTCAGGTATTTACTCATAACTCGGATATTTTCGGGTCAAATGCCTTCTCATATTTTTACCAACGGAATATCAAGAATTTTTCTGCACTAAGTCAGGATCTTAACAATCAAATTCGTACTTAATTCAGGGAATCATTTCAAGATCAGAGAGTGTTTAAGAAAGCAATTAATCATATGATCTCTAAATTATATTATTTTCGTTAAGAGCTAATATCGAAATTATCTGGTTAAGAAATTACGAAAATGCCCTTGAGAGGTAAAATAGTCCAAGTTGACCCTGAATGAGAAAGTACTTTGAGGATTTGTACTTAACTTGATTAAGTACGAATTTGATTGTTAAGATCCTGACTTAGTGCAGAAAAATTCTTGATATTCCGTTGGTAAAAATATGAGAAGGCATTTGACCCGAAAATATCCGAGTTACGAGTAAATATCTGAAGAACAATTTATTGGGGGTGCTCTTTTATCAGAATTGTTCGATGATAAATTGAAATTAAATAATAAGACAGGATGAAAGGAAGTGATTAAAATACATCGGATCTATAGAATGACCATAATACCCCTGTAATGGAAATGACCCAAGAATATCACCATGCTCAGGAATGATTGAATATTCTCGAGCTCTGAAATGAATGGAATAAAACTGAACACCAAAATACCCTTATGGCCTAGACTAAGTAGATGTTTTAAATTAATTAAGGAATCCAAGTAAATACGGGTGTTGTACTACCCTTAAAAGTTATGGAACACAACTTAAGTGAGCCGATCAACCTTAATGACATGTCAGTACCTGAACGACATAGATATTATTTGAACGCGTGTTCGTTTTCTCAAGTTTAGTTCGATGATAATTTTGGAAATATTCAGCTCAGCAACTCTAGATCGCATTCAATACTAAGAATTTTATATTTGTTCGACAAATCAACCACGAAGTCTGAATTGAACTAAAAGAAAGTACAATATGTATCCGAAATTCAGAAACGTCCGGAATTACTCTGGAAAATTCCGAAGTAGTTGGAATAGACTTGACTGCTAAATGAACTAGATAACCTCAAGGACTGAGGATTAAGTAAAAGATTGGAATAAGCCTGAAAACTCGGATGAACTTACGTGGTGTATCATCCCTATGGATTATGAACCACAAATCAAGTATGTCGATATTTCCTGATATAGTTGAAACATGGAAATGAAATAAAGACCATTAGAATATATGTTCGTCTCCTTAAGTTCTGTTCAGTGATGCCTCAAAGGTGATCTATGGATAAGAATATTTGATATTAAAGAGTAAATACCCTGGAAGGTTAATGAATTTGATAAGTTGACAAGTATTAGTTATGGGAGCTATTAATCTGGAGTTGTTCCATAATCTGTTCAATCGACATAGATTGTAAAGGTCTTGAATCTTCGTTATTCCTTATCTGCTCAAATCACTCTAGTCATGTATGAAAACATAAGTAACTCATATATAAAGGATTTTGAATACCCTTCTGATTACGTAGAGCTTCCGATAAATGTTTGAATAAGATGATCATGATAAGCATATTATGAATAACTGATGATTTTGTCAGTCAACAAACTCTTCTAATAGTGATTCTAATTTCCGGCACTCTATCGGTAGACTGAAGATTTGTATTTCTATGCCCGATAAGATCATCTTGTATCTCTAAAAAATATCTGGAAACTCTAGTGTGTTCCCTACTTGTCGGAAACTTTGACGATCTCACCCCTCCACGCGCCGGCGACGACGGAGAAACGGAGAACACCGGTTGACTCGGAACGATGCAAGGAACACGATGGTGCGGGAGGTGTCGAAAATTGATCATCGGATCGTCGTGAATCGACGAAAAACCAACTGAAAATGAGTTATTACCGACGATACTTCCGACTGAAATTAACGATTCACGACGACGATTCACGACGAAAGGTTTGAGGGGTTTTGTTCCTCGGTCGACAACGAGCAAGATGATGGTTTCGGTTCGTCGATCGGAGGTCGAACGACGAGTATATCGGAGTTGAAAGTGGGTTGACGAGGGGAGGAAAATAGAGCATTTTTTTTCTTTAGAATACACGGGAAATGGGTGTTATAATTCATCCCAAAAGAAAAATGGTCAAATAATGAGTTTAGTCACTGAACTTTCTGCACTTCTTAAAACGGTCTGCAAACTTTGAAATTTTACAATTTAATCCACCGTTTCTTTCAAAATACCAATTAAATTCACCACTATATAATTCCTAAAATTTAGCCCCTAAATTGAGGTGTTACACTTCTACTACTTGTTATATGAGTAATCATAAAATATATATATCTTAGTCATATTTTAATTTGGGTTTATATGCATATCTCTAGGTTCCTGGAAAGATACATCTTGTATTAGAGTACTGCAAGGGTGGCGATCTTTCTATGTATGTTACACGACATGGAAGTGTCCCTGAGGCAACTGCGAAGCATTTCATGCAACAGCTAGGTATTCGGCAAACCATTGTTGCTTTTCTTTATCTATTGAATTTGGTCGTTCAAAACACTTATAACCATCTTGTTGCAGCGGCAGGCCTCCAAGTTCTCCGTGACAATAATCTTATACATCGGGATCTAAAGCCTCAGGTTCAGTTAATTTTGTTTTGTCAAGTTTGAATTTTTATCTATTTTTTGGCTACTTATGTCTCTGAGTAAATAAGCACACCTACTAAAAGTTGTATTACTTTCTTTCTTTACCATAATAAGTAGAACTAAAATATAATGGATGACACCTTTTTTCCCTCTTAATTGGATTTGCTTTTGGAACTGTATTATTGAATATGATGAAGTTGTATGTATTGGTACATATGCATTTAAAAAATAAGCCCGTGATGTTGAACAACCTCCTTTGTTACATACCAGTCTTGTCCATGCCATGAAGTTCTCTTTATAATGTTGATGAACAGAATCTTCTTCTCACAACAAATGATGGAAATGCAGTTTTAAAGATTGCAGATTTCGGATTTGCAAGGTATACTATCACATTGATCAGCCCAATTATTGGGTGTTTTTCTTATTTTCTTTCGCTTTCCTTTTTTTTAGTTAAAGAATCTCTATTAGTGAAAAGTAGCTTTCATCTTTCTAGCCCAAGGACCAAGGCTTATCCTTGGCTGTTTGAATTGAACTTTGTTTCTTTCAACAACAACAAAAAAATGAAAAAGTAATTATTTTAATTGTTAATATTACAATTTGAGACCACTTTCTTCTTTAATAGTCTGTATTATGTGCTTATTTGCTTTAAATGGTTCGAGAATGGTTCTAATTGGTGCTCAACAGCCACAGTGAAGAATGGAAACTGAGGCTTCTGGAAAAATGCTATTGAATTAATATCTTAAAGTACTATGATTGCAATGGTCCAGCATAATTGATTTTTAATTGTTGATATTAATCAAGGAAGTTATTCATAATTATTGTCTACTACCCTTTTTTGTTTGGAGTTATGGAAGATATTTTGCGTTTGCACCCCATTGGTTTCTTTTTGCAAGTAAAGTTCATTTAATTATATAATTCCAATCATGGTCAGATAAAGAAGATGAAAAGGATGGTACCGCTGTGCTATGCACATATGTTTTCCCAATGAATTTTTCACCCATATTCAATAGTTAGAACATTACTGTTCTGTTTTGGCAGATCTCTGCAACCTAAGGGGCTTGCTGAAACATTATGTGGTTCTCCTCTTTACATGGCTCCAGAGATAATGCAGCTGCAGAAGTACGACGCAAAGGTGATGGTTACTCCCCACACAAGACTTGACTCTTGCTCTTCTCATCCATACCTTACTAACTGGACCCTAATACGCAGGCAGATCTTTGGAGTGTTGGTGCTATTTTATTTCAGCTCGTTACCGGGAAAACACCATTCACTGGAAACAATCAAATACAGGTAATGAACTTCTAAATGTGTTTGTCTAAAATGGTCCCCAAGGTTCCTGAATTTTTCTAACTTTAGGTTTGCAATTAATCACGTGAATTGAACCAGTGATTATGTTGATGCTTTTGCAGCTACTCCAAAACATTTTGAAATCAACCGATTTACATTTCCCGGCGGAAAATGATTATTTGACAGCTGATTGCAAAGATTTATGTCAAAAATTGCTCCGTCGTAACCCAGGTATTCCATAAATGTAGATTAGATTACAGACTTCCAACATACAATTGAATTATTTGTTGGCATATTAGAGACGATAACAACCATTTTACTGTTACATGCTTACTTTATTCTGGGATGATGCGAATTTCCAGAGTTAGAAGTATGAAAGAACCTTAACCTTAATTATTTAGTTTGTAACTATCTGTTCTTCTCCCTTTTCACTTATTCTGATGTTTAGGCATGGATGACTTGAACCACCTATTTGTTAATTGTGCTTACAAGAATTATTGTAATCTAAACTAATAGACTCTTCATGCTAGACCAATGATGCTAAGTTAAACATTTAGCTGATCTGTCAAGACAATGAGCAAAAGATCCATACAAATCAAGTTTCATTCAGCAATGCTATCAATTTTTTTGAGTGCTGAGCAATTTGTATTTATATTCTTGACCTTGTTCTCACTGGTCTCTTTATCCTTCTATTTGCAGTGGAACGTTTCACATTTGAAGAGTTCTTCAACCATCCATTTCTTTCTCGGGGACCACCAGAAAAATCATTGAGGTAAATGAGGAACTGATTGTTATCATCATCCAACCTTGATATATATTATCCCCAACATCCTAAATACTGAAACATTGCTGCATATGCAGGAGTCAGAGCTTTTCAAGAGCTGGTTTTCCTTGTTCTGAAAGCCGTCCTGTGAGGAATACTGAGGAAAGCTTTCAGGAGGACTGTCTTCCTTTCTTTCTGGATGATGATTCTAGTGGTCCTGATGTTAGCCCTTCATTTGCTGAAAAGAGGTCCTTAATGAAATCTACTTATGGATTTTCTGTTGATGTTAAAGATACTAGAGGAGCAACATCTAGTTCTTCGAGTAAAGTAGATTTTACATCCAAATACAGTGTTACAAGACATAAATTGGAAAATGCTAGTTTTAAACTTGAAAGACGCAAGGTTTCAGGTGAAACTCTGCACGAACCTCACAAATCCCTGGATCAAAGACCTGCAAATACTTGTTCAAGAGGTACCAACAATTTTATATGTTCCATTTCTCTTTATGATCTAATTCCCAACATATCTTGCTTATTTTCTATGTTCTGAGCAATTTCATCCTTTGAATAACACGTCTTGTTTAACTGTCACTCTTGCATTGTTTCCACAGTTGGTGAGTCACTGGAGTTGATTGACCAAGATTATATTATTGTGTCTGGACCCTCCATGGATGTGTCATCTTCTTCAGCTAGAACTTCCAAGCCAAACCATACTGTATACAAATCTGAGAATTCTCCTCTAATTCCCTTTGTCAATAGAACTGCATCAACTGCCCCCATGCCAATCGCTGGTGCCACCGAAGTCAAAACTCATCATGTAGGAAGCTTAGGAAGTCAGAGCTCTGCCCCTGGGACTTCTCAAGGATCCATGGATATTGGAGATATGGAACAACCATCATCTCATTGCATGACAAGGATTAAATCATTACAGCAGTGTGCATCTGCAGTTACAGAATTAGTGCATGAAAAGGTTAGTCCATAGTTAACCTGTTAAAAGTGCATTATGCGGAGTAGGGCATCGACATAACTCCCTCCCTTGCCCTTTATTCTTCCCCATGTTTGCTTGCTTAACTGCCATTTAGCAGATGACTGGTCTCATTGTGTACTTATCTTTGTGTGCCTAGACTCTGGACCATTTGATTGGCTCTCTTGGTGCTGGTAGGACCTCTACATGGTCTACTAATATGCTCAGACAAGGCAATTAGTTAATGAATGCTCTCACTGCATCTTTCTGGGTCATACTTTTAGGAAAATTTTGCATGATTGGAGTATAAGGTGTATACAGCTTCAACGTTTAGTTTGTGTACCTTGTGGCCAGTTTCTGCTGCTCCTTACTGTTACTTTCGGGTCAACAAGCTTCGTTCAATAGTATGATATTTTAAATGACACAACTCCATGTCAATCTCTATGTTGATTACTGTTACTTCTGTTACATCTTGCTAGCTAGGATCTCTTTGTATTTTCTTTGCCATTAGAAGCTTTATTGATGCTATTTTGTATACATTATCGTGGTTTGTTGATAGATTGAGGCAGGTAGACAACTTGAAGCATTCTCAATCCAGCTTGTGATTCTTGCAATTTGGAAACAAGCACTGCATATTTGCCACACCCAGGCTGCATCAGCTATGGAAGGAAGTCCAAGCCAAGAAACAAGCAGATTGAGTGCCAGCAGGAAACATGGAACATCTGATAGGGAAGAATGTAATGAGATTTTCAGCCCAGAAGGGCCAGAAGATATATCCTCAGAGATAGAGAGGGAATTTCTTCGGGAAGTTGAGCATGCCGAGGAACTTGCCAAAGTTATTGAGCCTGGTAAACCTTTGATAATGATTACTCATTCCCTGTATTAAATTTGTTGTTTGAATTTGAAATTGCTCGAACAATAAGAAGGCAACTAAATGCATATAAAAAATGTTCATTAAATTAGCATGTTGTCATCATGATTGCAGGAAGTACAGAGATGCCTGATGCAATGGAGACAATATTTCAAGCAGCCCTTGCCTTGGGAAGACATGGAGGAGTGAGTCTTTCCTTTTCACCTTGATATCATTCATGTGCCTCAATTGTATTTATCTAATATAATTTTCCGGCGTGGAGAATAGATCAAGCGAAGATCTTTTATAATATAAATAGTTGATGAATGCCGTGGTGTGTGTTTTGCAGGTTGATGAGCTCATGGGTGATATGGAAAGTGCAGCTTTATTGTATTCAAAGGCAGAGCGTTTATTAGTCTTCCTTCTAGTCGAAGCACCGTCTCTCATTCTTAATCCTCCATTCTCACTCACAAACTCAGACCGGTATAGACTTGGAACGTACATTGATTTTCTTAGAAACAGGTCAGGGTACTCAAGATCACAGATGATGGCTGTTCTCGGGTGCAAGGATCAGCCATAGAGTTTAACCATTATTAAAAAAAAACTTATTTGTACAGTTATTCTTTGAAGTAACGGGGAATCAGGGTGTTAACATGGATCGACTCATTGTATCATGTTTGAGTGTTGTATTATTCTCTCATTTCTGCCATTAGTGAATGATAATCTGGTTAAGTTCTCAAGTGCTTTTCGTCTTTAATTTGTGTGTGTGTGTGTGTTTTTTTTTAAGTATACCATGTGATATTCACTCAAAGAATGATCGGTATTGAATTGAAAACTAGATAAAGTAAATGAGACCCATGGAGTAAATCAGAAAAGTATATTTGACCTTAATTGAATCCCCTTTAAAAATAACGTTTATTATAGAACTTCAATTCGCTGCTCTTTATATATAGACCTGGTAAATTTATTCTTGATTACTCAAATCGACTTTCTCGAAGGGGTATTCAATATAGATATGAACATGATGATAAAACTTGATCCGAAACCCAAATCATACCCGATTAAATCAAAATCGCTCCAAAATTTAATTGGACTAATGTGGACTCATATCCACTTTGATTCCAAACTGAAAACATGAGTTGAGATTAACTTGAATCGAAAGTAATCCGAATCAAAAACAACCCAAATCAAAAATAATTTGAATTTAATTTATCTAAATCTCGTTTGAATTGAACATTGACTCAATTTTTAATCCAATAAATGAATAAAAGTCGTGAAACCCAATCAACCCACTGTCGAGTAAAATCACAAGAAAGATTTTGTGTAACAACCTCCACCAAATTGGGTATTTTAACGTTAGACCGAATAGTAATATAGTGTCAAACGCCGTGTTTCGCTGGCAGAAAAGTCAACCCCCACCATTTCTTTGATACAATCATTAATTCAACCTTCGTATATGGCTTTGTTTTTTTGACTGCATAAACATGTAGGTGCGTTTGACTTTGACCCTTAAACGCGGTTTCGTATTTAACAATTTATGCACTAATACCTGTTTTATTAACATTATTGAAAAAGTCAATGTAAGCAAACATTTGTTTTATCTGCGTTTTACGTTGACCCTTTAAACTATAAAGGAGTTGATCAAGACATTCACTACATTTTGAAGAAACAAAAAAAAAAAAGGAAATGTGGGTGATTCCTGTTATTTTTTTCTCTGTATTTCTCTGTATGATAATTATGTTTATTGCCCTTGTTCAATGTTGTTCTTCAGGGAGTAGTAATACCGGTGGTGGCGGTGCTGCTGGAGTTCATCGCCACTTCGGCGAAGGTGGTCAGAAGATGTCTCAAGGCTTTGGCGGAGACCATGTAAGCATTGATATTGGTGGTGCAGGGTATAGCAGTTGGGGAGGAGGTTTTAATGCTGGAGGTGGTGGAGGTGGAGGTGGAGGTGGAGGTGGAGGTGGCTGTTAAAAGAGAAAAAATAACGTATGTAACTAGGAAGACACAATCAAGAAGCTCGTTGGTTCAAAGGGACGATACAATTGATGTTGTAAATTAACAATTATTGAAACAATTAAGTTAAGCTTGTTCCTCCTTGATGATTGGCATTGATGTTGTAAATTAGCTTTAATTGATGTTGTAAACAATTATTGAAAATATTAAGTTATATATTAAATTAATTATAATCTCTTTTTTGTTATAAAGTTCATATAAAAATCATTATTAAAAATAACTATAATTTTTTTATGTAAAATCACTAATAAAAACTTTATTGTAATTTATATAATAGTCATACACACACAAAATAACGACCCTTTAAAAATTTATAAATTTAAGAAAAAAATATGAATTAATTTATTTAGTTGGTTTTTACTTATTAACATATGATTAAAGTTAAAATTTTAACTTAACCAACGTTTTCATTTGGTTTAAAAAAAATAATTTTCAAAAATTAAAATAAAATCCTCTTTGATGAATAACAGAATATTTAAACAAAAGTATTTTAATCTATTGAAAAATAAAATCCCATAATTTCCATTTATTCAGAATTTAGTTTTGCATTAATATACATTATATTACAATATTTATAGTTATTTCATAGGAAAAGAGAATAGGGATGGGCATAGGTCGGGTTTTTGGTCCACCCGAGATCATATCCGACCCGACCAAAACAAGATTCCACCCGACCCGACAAATAATTTAAAAACTCGACCCGACCCGAAATAATAAAAAATTTTTATTCAATCAAAACAGTGACTTAATTGAAAAAAATATTATATATAAGGGTATTATTGTAATTATTCATAAATATATAAGGTAAAATTATATATATTTTTCGGGCCGGGTCGGATATTTTTCACCATAAATCCGAACCCGACCCGACTCAAACATCACATTAAAAAAATCTGACCCGACCCGAATATAAACCCAAAATTTAAAAAAAAAAAACTCGATCTGATCGAGTCGGAACCTATAAATCAATTGCCTAATTCTCACGACTTTAAGAAAAGTTTACGACAATTTGAGCAATCAATGTCTTGAAAATCAAAACTTCTCTCCCTTTATTTAATTAATAACTGATATCCGATCTATTAATCACTAATTCAGATCGGATACTACAGAGATAAAAGCGACCCTCCCAACCCAATTTGCTCTATTCGAAAATGTAAAGATTCGAACCCCTAACCTTACTTAAGGGATCTAACGCCTCATCCCACTAGACTAGCTGATTGTTGGTAAAACTAGTCTCTCTTTAAGTTAGATGAATGTTATACAATAATGTGATTTGTAATAACTAACTAAACTTGTCTTGAAAAGTTTTAAGCTTTTGAGGAAAAAAAACAAATAAGATTTAAGAAGAAATAAAGCAAGACATATAATCATAGTTGTTAAATTTGAGTCGAAATAACCAACTGAATAAAATATTGACAAATGAATTTATTGAATTCATAGAGTAAAATCATGATATATACAAATCATTGTGAACGATTAACAATTAAAAATCCAATTAAAAAAATCAATAGTTTAGTCAATGCAACTAACAGTTTTATGGTAAAAATCCACTTAATTATTATTTCGTTTCATTTGGATAATCGATTTTTAATTTTATTAATTAAATCATTAATTATTTAAATGATTCAATCAAGTTACTTGTCGTTAATATCTAATTGAAGTGTTGACGTAATAGTTAGCAAAATTAGTATAATTACACCTATGGTTCTTAATATTTATACATTCTATCAATTTGATTCTAATTTTGATTTAGTTTAATAAATTTAATCATCTAATCATACAATGACACATATCACATTATGATTGGAGAATTTTTTTTATAATTTTAATTTAGTTTAATAAATCTCCGTATATTGCAGGCAACTAACAATTGAGACACAGTGGCATGGAAAGATATAATGGCATTGCATTGCCAATTGGCAAAAAATGTTTGTAGTGATGGATACGTTCCACCACAAATCTCATCAATGTACGACTTCCAGTCTTCCAGTCCTTTATCAATACGCAATTATTGCTTGGTTCAAAAAGGGAAGGAATGTAAATAACTGGGCTGGTTTCTTTTGACAGAACATGTGGGTATCAGACTAATAATTCGGAAATTTTGGTGTAATTTTACAGTGAGTCATCCATCCCCTTCGGTAAGCCCATGTTGAAGAATCCAATGGTGGGTTTGTCGCTTTCTTTACGGTCAACAAGACGTCATGCGAATCAAGGTCTGCCACTTGTCTTTCTTATAATAACAAGGTGGAAATGTTTTCTGCTGCAGAAACCTGGGATTCGTTCTTGTTTGCAAATTGCATTGTTTCAGTATACGATAGGAGATTAGGGTACGTGGCGAGCGTTTAATGAACCACGATGTTTTGTTCCAGTAACGATGGGAGAGTATAAATATCAAGATCTAATCAAGCTGATTTCTGTAAACAAAAACACCATCGTCTTCGAGTCGCCTAAAATTCGAACTCAGAAGAGTAAATCTCTGCATCTTAAGAGCGCACTTTTATCTATATGGTCATATGATTGTATGAATATAAAAGAAGGAATAAAAATAAAAGAGATAAAATTGTGTGTAATATGAATCGGTTTAAATTAATCAAAGTAAAATTTTAGGGGTCAGAAAGTATTGAGATATGCTCGTGTACGTGAGTCAGTGTACTCGTGCATGTTATGCATGTGAGCTAAGGAATGGTGATGGATATGGTTAACCATCACGTGAAACAGTTAGGAATCAGTTTCAGGGTTGTTAGGCTGTTAGAGTATGTTATTAGTAGGCTATAAATGTAAGTGTAATCAAGGAGAGTAGTGAGCTAATTCAATAACAAAATGCTTTTCTTGTTCAATCTTGTTTAGTCTCTTTGCTGCATCTTCTTCATTACTTAATATGGTATCATTCGCTGGATGTTCTTGAGGTTCTCATACGTGATGTGCTAATCTCTTGCTCATGGAAGTTTATGCTGGCAAGACCTTCACAAACAAGAAGGTTAACATCATCCTTGATGAAGCCAACTTCCTGCTATGGAAGCAACATATTCTGTTAACAGTTCGCAATCACCGACTGGAACGGTTATTAACCGGAGTCGTGCGTCCTCCTCCTACAACAATCGAGGATGAGAATGGAAATACGGTGGCAAATGACCTGCATGAGGAGCTTGTTGCACAAGATAGTGTACTAGCTTCTTGGCTTCTCTCTTTGATCAACTCGCACTTGATGTCCCAGTTTGTTGGAGCAGAGACGGCGACGACGGTTTGGAGCAAGATGCTGCAGTTCTTTGCAAATCTGTAACATCCCAAACTAGGGGTTAGTGACTAAATTGTAAAGTTTAAGAATTTGATGAATTAAGTAGAAAAATGGAATAATTCAATGATTTATTTGGAAATAATTCCTAAAAGTTGTTAGTAATTATTAAAGTAGATGAAGGGCAAAGTGGTCATTGAACAAAGATAATATTAAATATTAATAAATGGGTATTATAATATATGAGATGTATGATTGAAGAGATAAGTTTTAGACTTATCTTCTTCATCTTCATCTTCTCTCAAACGTGAAGAGCCAAGCTTGCAAAGGTGAGTTCCTTTGTTAGTTGGTTATTTGCTAAATTTATGGTTGGGTTTTGATCATTAGATAATAACTAAGCTTAAGGAAAGCTTAGGTTATCTTAAGATTGAAAGATAAAGAAGTTATGAAAGATTAAAGAAAAT